GACTGCAGAACCAGGCTGGAAAGTTTATGTCTTGATGGTGCCACCCTACAACCTTTGTGACCTGGAGTTAATTATTTAACTTAGATGTACTTCAGTTTCTCTCTGTGTAATGGGTATAAGAATGCAACATTCATAGGATTGCTATGCAGATTAAACGAGTGAATATTTGTAGAACTTAGGACTTGTTAGTACATGCTAAATAAATTCACATAAAACAGCTGATATCCAGACCCAAGTGATAAATATATAAGTTTATACAATATCCATTTCATTGTGATAGCTAAAGGCATTCTGTCTCACAAAGAAATAGTAACTCTCCTATCTTCTTTTTACTCACCAGTGCATTTGCTAGACTTTTCTCACAATCCCATGAACTACATCCCAATTATTTATAATATTTTGTCAATGAAAAATATGTAGTATGTTCAGTAAAGAACAAAATTAAAATTAGGATGAAAAAACTACTATAGGAGAGCAAAATTCCTACTGATAAATGATAAAACATTTCACACATAAATAATTAAATTACTGAATAATGGGATTTATATTTTATTTTTTTTTTTTTTAAGATTTTATTTATTTATTTGACAGAGAGAGACACAGCGAGAGAGGGAACACAAGCAGGGGGAATGGGAGAGGGAGAAGCAGGCTTCCCGTGGAGCAGAGAGCCCGATGTGGGGTTCGATCCCAGGACGCTGGGATCATGACCTGAGCCGAAGGCGGACGCTTAACGACTGAGCCACCCAGGCGCCCCGGGATTTATATTTTATTACACCCATAATGTTACTAATAAAACTCTAGATATTGAATTTGTCTGTAATTGCCATTACATTTGTGGATGGCTTGCACGTATCCTTGACTTTGCTCTTTATCAGGATGACACTCTGACCAAAGTCCAAACACCTCCCACTGCAAGCGAGGAGAAACTCTGGAGAGGACTGACCTGAGGGAAAGAGCAGCTAAAACACAGCAGCAGAGTGCACACAGAACACCCAAGACACTTACTGAAGTGCCAGGCCCTGGACAGTATATGACCTCTTCTTAATGAAACCATTACTCTCAGGAGCAGGAAACATAACAGGCTTTTCTAACATACAGAAGAAGACAAAGACCTAGACAAAATGCCAAGACAGAAGAATTCACCCCAGAAAAAAAGAACAAGAAAAGGTCACAGGCCAAAGATCTAACTGATATATAAGTAATATGGCTGGTCCAGAATTTAAAACAACAATCAAAGGATACTAGCTGGACTTGAGAAAAGCACAGACAACAACAGGAAGTCCCTTACCACAGAGATAAAAGATCTAAAAACTAGTCAAGCAGAAATAAAAAATGCTATAACTAAGATGTAAAACCAAGTGGATGTAATGGATGTAATGGATGTAATGACCACAATGATGGAAGATGTGGAAGAATGAATACTTGCTATAGAAGATAAAATTTTGGAAAATAATGAAGCTAAAAAGAAGAGAGAAAGAAAAATATTGGATCATGAATGTAGCCTTAAGGAACTCAGCAACTCCATAATGTGTAATAAAATTTGTATCATAGGAATCCCAGAGGAAGAAGAAAGGGAAAAAGGGGGAGAAGGTTTACTTGAGTAAATTATAGCTGAAAACTTCCCTAATCTGGGGAAGGAAACAGACATCCAAATCCAGGAGTCACAGAGAACTTCCAGCAAAATTGACAAAAGCAGGCCAACTCAAGACATATTATAGTTAAATTTGCAAAATATAGAGATAAGGAAAAACAATCCTAAAAGCAGCAAGAGAAAAGAAGTCCCTAACTTAAGGGAAGGCAAAAAGGTTAGCAGCAGACCTCTGTACAGAAATTCGTCAGGGTAGAAGAGAGTGGCATGATATAGTCAACGTGCTGAATGGGAAAAATATGCAGCCAAGAATACTTTATCCAGCAAGGCTGTCATTCAGAATAGGAGAGATAAACAGTTTCCTAAACAAACAAAAACTGAAGGAGTTCATGACCACGAAACCAGCCCTGCAAGAAATGGGACTCTTGAGTGGGAAAGAAAGACCAAAGCAACAAAGACTAGAAAGGAACAGAGAAAATTTCCAGAAACAATGAATGTAAATGGACTAAATGCTCCAATAAAAAGACACTGGGTGTCAGAACTGATTAAAAAAAAAAAAAATCCATCTATATGCTGCCTATAAGAGATGCATTTTAGAAAAAAGATACCTGCATATTGAACATGAGGGGATGGAGACATGCTAATGGATGTCAAAAGAAAGCTGGAGTAGCCATACTTATACAAAATAGATTTTAAACCAAAGACTGGAACAAGAGATGAAGAAGGGCACTATATCATAATAAAGGGGTCTTTCCAACAAGAAGATCAAACAATTGTAAATGTTTATGCCCCTAACTTGAGAGAACCCAAATATATAAAACAATTAATAACAAACATAATGGAACTCATTGATAATAATACAATAATAGCGGATTGCTTTAACACCCCACTTAGAGCAATGGACAGATCATATAAGCAGAATATCAGTAAGAAAACCATGGCTTTGAATGACACACTGGACCAGACAGACTTAACAGATATATTCAGAACATTTCATCCTAAAGCAGCATTCTTTTAGAGTGCACATGGTACATTCTCCAGAATAGATCACATACTGGGTCACAAATCAGGCCTCAACAAATACGAAAAAATTGAGATCATACCATGCATATTTTCCAACCACAATGCTATGAAACTTGAAGTCAACCACAGGAAAAAATTTGTACAGTTGAACATAGGGATTAAAAAAAGGGGGGATCCATAAAACAGATTCTTATCTGTAGAGAACAAACGAGGATTGCTAGAGGGGAGGTAGGTGGGGGGTTGGGATAAATGGGTGATGGGTATTAAGGAGGGCACTCATTGTGATGAGAACTGGGTGTTACTTGCAAGTGATGAATCACTAGATTCTATACCTGAAACTAAGATTACACTATATATTAACTAACTGGAATTCAAATAAAAAAAAAAATGGGAAGAAAAAAAATGTACCTGGCAATGTATGTGTACATTTTTCCTTCTTTTTGAAAAATTACATCATGCCAAATATATATTCCAATGTCTATCTACATCATTGGATAGATAAGAACTTTTATATAACTAATGTACATAATTATTATGCATGCCACTAGTATTATAGCAAATATATGCTCCTTTTTGAACAGAGAGCTATGCTGAGTGATTAAATACTTTATTTCATGTCTCATAACCATGCATTGGGTAGCTGTGTTGCTATCTGACTCATATATAATTAACATAATCATCTTAAATGAGAGCAGTGTATATTTATTGGAAATGCTTTATATAAGGCATGAATGTAAAAACCAGAAACTACTCACCATACACCAAAATACTCAAAACTGCAATTTCATCAAATCATTACACAGACACAGAAACAACCTACCTCCAAGAAATGGCTAGAAATTAAAACTGTATGTAACAAATATATAAACTTCATTGAGCTGCTTTTGTTTTGGTTTGGATTTTGCTTGTTTTATAGTAAATAAAGTAATAGGGAAGTTAAAAGAAAGACTGTATATACAAACCAAACTTTTCATCATTATTACGAGTCTTCAATTAAGGAGAAGGAAGTCTTCAGAGAGGATCTCATAGAAGTTATTAAGACAATCATGAAAAAGAGGAAGAGAATTAAAAATACTTGATGGGATAAATGAATCAATGTTACAACCCTAAACCATGAGAAAGAGAAAGTACGTTGTGGAATTTGTCAAAAACAAGAAGGGAAGATAAAGCATCGTATATTTCTATATTTAGTTACTTTTTCTAAAACAATCCAAAAATTATGGATCAGACAGGTCTATGATGAATCTTTACAGTTATGTATATCAATCATTAGATAATGAAAAAATTAAGAATATTATTATTAAAGGGCAATCTGGTGGAGCTAAGGACCCAGGAAGCAGAAATGGTCTGGGAAATTATACTACCTTTGCTACAAGACATAATATTGATGAGAAACAGCTTTCATCAAGCCTCTAATTGTGTTTTGGAATATGCAGGCATAAGAAGAGGTCAAATAATTATACTACAGGGCAGAGTGTTGTAATTTTATGAGAAGGTACTAAAAAGGCATACCATTAGTGAATAAATATGTAAAGTGCTATCTCAAGGTGCTGATCAAAACAGCCAGCCAGACAGGTTCGTGTAATAGAGGAAGAGATGGATAAGGCCTCAATAAACCTCCAACATCTCTATGGTACACACAGGAAAAGTGTGCAATTTAATGGCTTGGTAGTCTCCTTCTTCTATATATATTGTGTATGGGATCCCCTTAATTATCACCTTTTCTATCATTTGACTCCAAAGTATATATTAATTTAAGAATAAACAAATCAGTAATTCACTAAGCAATCAAAGGATGATATCAATTCAATCAAATTATTGACCTATAGATATGTTACTATTACTTTAGCATTACACATCTTTATTATTAAAATTTTGTCCCTGTATCATCACAGCTCCTATGACTCCAAATATATAGTGAATTTCAGACTTGAATGCAAATGTCCATAGAATAAATGAACTCTCATGTTTTAGACATAGATTAAGTTCTTAACTGGCTTTGAATTTCGTAATTGAAAGAACAGTGGTCTGCAATTTATCCTTAGTTTACCTGAAGAACTCATTAACTAACCTAAATATATCCAGAGTTAATACTGTTAAAAATCAATCATCTATCACATTGATTGATTTGCGGATATTGAACCAAACTTGCAGCCCAGGAATAAATCCCACTTGGTCGTGGTGAATAATCCTTTCAATGTACCGTTGGATCCTATTGGCTAGTATTTTGGGGAGAATTTTTACATCCATGTTCATCAGGGATATTGGTCTGTAATTCTTTTTGATGGGGTCTTTGTCTGGTTTGGGGATCAAGGTAATGCTGGCCTCATAAAATGAGTTTGGAAGTTTTCCTTCCATTTCTATTTTTTGGAACAATTTCAGAAGAATGTGCACATGCCCCAGAGTTGACCAAAAAAGTTCAGCGCCATGCATCTAGTGGCTCCTTCCCACCCAGTGGTAATGAGCATCCTAAAGAAGATCTCAAACTTCACCTGAAGAAATTAACTCATGCCGCCCCTTGCATGTTGTTTATGAAAGGAACTCCTCAGGAGCCGTGCTGCAGTTTCAGCAAGCAGATGGTGGAAATCCTTAACAAACATAATATTCAGTTTAGCAGTTTTAATATCTTCTCAGATGAAGAAGTTCGTCAGGGCCTCAAAACCTATTCCAACTGGCCCACCTATCCCCAGCTCTATGTTTCTGGAGAGCTCATAGGAGGACTTGATATAATTAAGGAGCTTGAAGCATCTGATGAACTAGATACAATTTGCCCTAAAGCTCCCAAATTAGAGGAAAGGCTCAAAGTACTGACAAATAAAGCTTCTGTGATGCTCTTTATGAAAGGAAACAAACAGGAAGCAAAATGTGGATTCAGCAAACAAATTCTGGAAATACTAAATAATACTGGTGTTGAATATGAGACATTTGATATATTGGAAGACAAAGAAGTTCCTCAGCGGTTAAAAACTTATTCAAATTGGCCCACATACCTTCAGCTGTATGTGAAAGGGGAGCTTGTTAGAGGTCTGGATATCATTAGGGAACTAGGAGACAATGGTGAGCTGCTGCCAGTGCTGAAAGGAGAGAACTAGGGACTATTACGCCCTGTGCCCAATTGCTGCAGGAAACCTTCGTCACAGTGGGGCCGCTCACGACTCCGTTCTCAGATTGCTGCACACCCAGTTAGGCTCGGTGTAACCCACCAGCTCATGCTAAATACATGTATGTTTTGTTTGTTTTTCATCAAACCAGAATGCAATAAACATCTTCAAATCCGATTAAAAAAAAAAATTCTTCTTTAAATGTTTGGTAGAGGTCTGTGATTCACAGGCCTGTACCTCTGAAACAAATAATACATTATATGTTAAAAAAAAAAAAAAAGAAGAAGAAGAAGATAGTAGGAAGGGAAAAATGAAGGGGGGGAAATTGGAGGGGGAGACGAACCATGAGAGACTATGGACCCTGAGAAACAAACTGAGGGTTCTAGAGGGGAGGAGATTGGGAGGATGGGTTAGCTTGGTGATGGGAATTAAAGAGGGCACATATTGCATGGAGCACTGGGTGTTATATGCAAATGATGAATCATGGAACACTACATCAAAAACTAATGATGTAATGTATGGTGACTAACATAACATAATAAAATTTTTAAAAATGTAAAATAAAATAAATAAAATAGATAAATGTTTGGTAGAATTCCCCTAGGAAGCCATTTGGCTCTGGGCTTTTGTTTGTTGGGAGATTTTTGACTACTGCTTCAATTTCCTTACCGGTATGGGTCTGTTCAGGTTTTCTATTTCTTCCTGGTTCAGTTTTGGTAGTTAATATGTCTCTAAGAATGCAACCATTTCTTCCAGATTATTTAATTTGTTAGCATATTGTTGCCCATAATATGTTCTTATAATTGTTTGTATTTCTTTGGCATTGTTTGTGATCTCTCCTCTTTCACTCATGATTTTATTTATTTAGGTCCTTTCTCTTTTCTTTCTGATAAGTCTGGACAGGGGTTTATCAATCTTATTAATTCTTTCAAAGAACCAGCTCCTAGTGCTCGCTTTGGCAGCACATACACTAAAATCAAAGAACCAGCTCCTAGTTTCATTGATCTGTTCTACTGTTCTTTTGGTTTCTATTTCATTGATTTCTGCTCTAATCTTTATTATTTCTCTTCTCCTGCTGGGTTTAGGCTTTATTTGCTGTTCTTTCTCCAGCTCCTTTAGGTGTAGGGTTAGGTTGTGTATTTGAGACCTTTCTTGTTTCTTGAGAAAGGCTTGTATTGCTATATACTTTCCTCTTAGGACTGCCTTTGCTGCATCTCAAAGATTTTGAACAGTTGAGTTTTCATTTTCATTTGTTTCCATGAATTTTTAAAATTCTTCTTTATTTCCTGGTTGACCTATTCATTCTTTAGTAGGAAGCTCTTTAGCCACTGCAAATCTAATCAGTGTGATACAATACATTAATAAAAGAAAGAACAAGAACCATATGACCCTCTCAATAGATGCAGAAAAGCATTTGACAAAGTACAGCATCCTTCTTGACTAAAACTCTTCAGTGTAAGGAAAAAGGATACATACCTCAATATCATAAAAGCCATCTATGAAAAACCCACAGCGAATATCATACTCAATGGGGAAAAACTGAGAGCTTGTCCCCTAAGTCCCCTGAGGAGCATGGCAGGGATGTCCACTATCACCACTGCTATTCAGCTAGTACTAGAAGTCCTAGCCTCAGCAATCAGACAACAAAAAAGAAATAAAAGTCATCCAAATAGACAAAGAGGAAGTGAAACTCTCACTTTTGTAGATGATATGATACTTTATGTGGAAAATCCAAAAGACTCCACACCCAAAACTGCTAGAACTCATACAGGAATTCAGTAAAGTGGCGGGATATAAGATCAATACGCAGACATCAGTTACATTTCTATACACCAGCAACAAGACAGAAGAAAGAGAAATGAAGGAGTCGATCCATTTACAATTGCACCCAAAGCCATAAGATACCTAGGAATAAATCTAACCAAAGAGGCAAAAAAATCTGTACTCAGAAAAGTATAGAATACTCATGACATAAATTGAGGAAGACACAAAGAAATGGAAAAGTGTTCTATGCTCATGGATTAGAAGAACAAATATTGTGAAAATGTCTATGCTACCTAGAGCAATCTACACATTTAATGAAATGCCTATCAAAACACCATCAACTTTTTTCAAAGAAATAGAACAAATAATCCTAAAATTTGTATGGAACCAGAAAAGATCCCGAATAGCCAGAGGAACATTGAAAAAGAAAAGCAAAGCTGGTAGCATCACAATTCCAGACTTTAAGTTCTATTACAAAGCTGTAATCATCAAGGCAGTAGGCCACTGGCACAAAAACAGACACATAAATCAGTGGAACAGAATAGAGAGCCCAGAAATGGACCCTCAACTCTATGATCAACTAATCTTCAAAAAGCAAGAAAATGTCCAATGGAAAAAAGACAGTCTCTTCAACTAAAGGTGTTGGGACAGCCAACATGCAGAAGAATGAAACTGGACCATTTTCTTACACCACACACAAAAATAGACTCAAAATGGATGAAAGACCTCAATGTGAGACAGGAATCCATCAAAATCCTTGAGGAGACCACATGCAGCAACCTCTTCGACCTCAGCCACAGCAACTTCTTCCTAGAAACAACGCCAAAGGCAAGGGAAGCAAGGGCAAAAATGAACTATTGGGACTTCATCAAGATAAAAAGCTTTTGCACAGCAAAGGAAACAGTCAACAAAACCAAAAGAAAACCGACAGAATGGGAGAAGATATTTGCAAATGACATATCACGTAAAGGGCTAGTATCCAAAGTCTATAAAGAATTTATCAAACTCAACACCCAGAGAACAACTAATCCAATCAAGAATACATAGGCAGAAGACATGAACAGATATTTCTGCAAAGAAGACATCCAAATGGCCAACAGACACATGAAAAAGTGCTGAACATCACTCGGCATCAGGGAAATCCAAATGAAAACCTCAATGAGATACCACCTCACACCAGTCAGAATGGCTAAAGTTAACAAGTCAGGAAATGACAGATGTTGGTGAGGATGCGGAGAAAGGGGAACCCTCCTACACTGTTGGTGGGAATGCAAGCTGGTGCAGCCACTCTGGAAAACAGTATGGAGGTTCCTCAAAAAGTTGAAAATAGAGGTACCCTATGACCCAGCAATTGTACAACTAGGTATTGACCCCAAAGATACAAATGTAGCAATCTGAAGGGGCACATGCACCCCTATGTTTATAGCAGCAATGTCCACAATAGCCAAACTATGGAAAGTGCCTAGATGTCCATCAACGAATGAATAAAGAAGATGTGGTGAAAATTATATATATATGTATATATATATACACACACACACACATATATATGAAAAATATATATATATATACACACACAATGGAATATTATGCAGCCATCAAAAATGAAATCTTGCCATTTGCAATGATGTGGATGGAACTAGAGGGTATTATGCTAAGTGAAATAACTCAATCAGAGAAAGACAAGTATCATATGATCTCACTGATATGAGGAATTTGAGAAACAAGACAGAGGATCATAGGGGAATGGAGGGAAAAATGAAACAAGATGAAACCAGAGAGAGAGACAAACCATAAGAGACTCTTAATCTCAGGAAACAAACTGAGGATTGCTGGAGTGGAGGGGGGGTGGGAGGGATGGGGTGGCTGGGTGATGGACATTGGGGAGGGTATGTACTATGGTGAGCTCTGTGAATTATGTAAGACTGATGAATCAAAGACCTGTATCCCTGAAACAAATAATATATGTTAATAAAAAAACAAATAGGGGCACCTGGGTGGCTCAGTCATTAAGCGTCTGCCTTCGGCTCAGGTCATGATCCCAGAGTCCTGGGATCGAGTCCCACATCGGGCTCCCTGCTCGGCAGGAAGCCTGCTTCTCCCTCTTCCACTCCCCCTGCTTGTGTTCCTGCTCTTGCTATATCTCTCTCTGTCAAATAAATAAATAAAATCTTAAAAAATAAAATTAAATAAATAAAAAAATAAAAAAATAAAAAACAAATATATCATCTATTATATAGACTTCAATTTGGCCATCTAGGACTCTCTCAGAAGACTCCAAAGTAACTGGAACCTGCAGTCAGTACATCAAAGATTTGTGACAATTTTCACTACACTTATGACTTGCTATTTGTAGTTAATATTCTAGATGGATAAAGTAGAAACACCACTGAAAAACTTGCAATATCCAAGGACTGATGGAGGAATATGAAATCTTACTGGTTGAAACTAATTGATCTTAATAGTAGGACATAATGATAAAGAAAATCTGTGTCCTAAGATGGCCAACCAAGCCAACAATAAATTCCCAATCCTTGTCCCAGGGTTCTTCCGGGTTCTTCTCCCTGCTCTGCTTCCTGCATGCACCAATCCGAGTCCTTTTCCCAGACCCGCTTCAAGCACACACCACAAGTGCCAAGTATGTGGAAGGAGAAGTGTATAAATTGCCCACTTTGTTTGTGTTCGGGGCTCAGACCTTTGGAGACCACTCTCCTCTGAGCCCCCTGGCGTTAAATAAACCTCCTATCCTCCCAGATCTCCAAGGGCTACTTGGTTCTTCCATCAGGCGATTCAGTCCAGGTTCCGTAACAATAAGAGGAAAAAGGAGATAACAGAAATTGGAAGAGTAGCCTACCATATAGAGCCGTGTAGGTAATAAAATGAATTTCCGAATGATATGAGAAACTACTGGAAACTTCTGAACAAAAGAGTGATATTATCTGGCTTGTTTCAAGTGGAGCAAACTACCTATTTTAATGAGACTGATGGGAGGTATGGGGATGTATTGTGACCTCTTAAAAAGTTATTGCAATAATCCAGGCAAGTAATTATGATGGCTTGGACCAGAACAGTAACAGGTAGGTGTTAAGAAATGATCAAGTTTTGAATATATTTAAAATTGGCCTAACAGGATTTGAAAAAAAAAAAAAACAAGAATATGGGTGTAGTAATAGACAAGAATAAAAAATAACACCAAGAATTTTAGTCTATATAACTGTAAGGAAAGAGTCACCATTTAATGAGGTGGGATGACCTAGGAAGAAACAAATGTGAAGATAATGTACAGAATTGTACTGGATATTTTCATTTTCAGCTATTTATTAAATATCTAAATGAAGGTATACCATTGGATATAGAAGACTAAGGTTCAGTGAAGAGGTCCATTGGTTGAGATTTAGAGTTTAATGGATCCAAGTGATA